TGTTGGCTTCAATAAGTTGTGTTGCATTCTTTTATTAAGTGGATAGGGGTTTGTGGTTTAGGCAGAATGCAGCTGCAGATAGCTCCCTAAAAAAGAAAAATACAGTCTTGAGCTGTGAAGGAAAATTAATCGAATACTTAGAAGCCTTTCTGTGTGTCAGCCTAGATATGGTGTGTTTAATACAAGATGTTTGTGCTGATAAGACTTTCCATGTTATGTGTGCATTATATGTAGCATAACATTATTGTTCTACTGGAATTTTTGTTTTTCTTGCACTGTTCTTTTATGTTGTAGAATTAATTGGAAATCATAGAATCCTAGGGGTTGGAAGGGACCTGGAAAGATCATCTAGTCCAACCCCCCAAATATAGGGTTTCTGTACATTTCTTGATTGCACTGATTTAACAAAGGTCATGATTTTGGCCTTATCAAGCAGCCAGTTTCACAACGTCAACACCTTTTATTTTGGTGTCTCACCTACCCATGATTCAAAGCTGCACTGCCTTGGCATGCTGGGTGCTTTAATCCCTAATTGACAGTTGCAGTAACTTGTGTCCTTTTGGAGCATTCCCTGATGTTCTCACAGCTTAAGTGGCATTTATAAAGGTATTTAATATAGAAAACCTTTTTAATAATATAGAGCATAACAACTCTGAATAGTGAGTATCTGCATATATAATACACATATAGAAATAGAGATGTGTATAAAATAAAATGTATTTTATGTTAAACTTATTAAGACAATTGCTCCTGGCAAAAGGTGCACAGGAAGGTTACCTACTGTACCCAGATAATCACTGTGGTGAGGCCAGGAAACAGAGGCCATTGTGCTGCAGAGGATGCTGCAAGTCCTGCTGGCTCAGCTTTCTTCCTCATTTCTTCTGCAAGAGCCACATCCTCTCTGCCAGAGGCTTCTTTCTGTGAGCTACCTAGCGGCCAGATCAGCAAACCTCCTGCAACAGTGTTCAACCAACAAATGTTCATACTGCCTTTAGCTTCATCTCTTGACCAGAGCAATGCAAGAGATGACATTTTAACAGCAACATTTTTTCTTCCAATAGTTTATCAAGTAATTTAAAAACAAACAAACAAAAAAACCCCAAAACCTCATTTCCCCACCTCTAGTTAATCAAGCCTTATCTGTTTAGTATCTGTGATGCTGCAGTAATTATACTCATTCTCCAGTTATCCACTGAGTCTCTCATGAAAAACTGAATACACATGACTTGAATTTCTAATTTTTTTATTTTTTTTTTATTTTCTAGCTTTGTACTAGTGGACAGCCTAGCGTGATGTCATCCTGACAATGCAAATAATAAAAAGGAATGGGTGAACAATTTCAGGGTTGTTTTTTTTTAGGTAAAGCAGAATCTCCAGTTTTACATGTGGAAAATGTGTCCTTTAAAATCTTGCACAGTAGGTTTGTACATTGGGAGCTGACAGATTGCTGAGGCACTTACATTGAAGCTCACACAGAAACAGTTGCAGAACTGAGGCCTGTGCATTTAAGAGGTTGCTGCAGTTCTTGTCTGATCTATTGGTTTCTCAAAATTGATTTATTTTTTTCCATATGAAGTGCCAAGAGTTCTTTGTGGTCAAATCTGTGTGGGAGATGTTACTAGTTTCTGTAGCCCACTGGGAATTAGAAGGTGTTGCTTAAGTCAGTGGTGTTCTTTCTTGGACTTAAAGTTACGTTTTGTAGCTAATTTTTTAGTAGTGTTCCCTTTTTCAGTCTGTTTTAATAATATTTTGGCTTCAATTCACCATTAATTATACAGCTTTAAGAATGTGTTGAATCAGGATGTTGGTAAAATTAGTTAAAATTATTTTGTAGAGCCAAGTTTTGTCAACGTGTTTATCTCTTCAGAGGATGATTATATTATTTTTTCCCCAGAAGAGGGACAAATGTTAATTTATAATCTATAAAAGATAATTTTATAATAATTATCTTTAAGATAGAAGATATTACAAAACTATGATCTCTTATGATTTTTAAAGATGCTGGTGTAAGTGAAACACAAACATGTTACTACAAAGTATGTAGGTAAAAACGCTTCCAAAGCAAGCAATACCAGTCAGGGACTGCTGGGACATCTTGGAGTCAGAGCTTCTCCAGGTCATGCTAAAGCATGGCTGCTTCACTGTATTTAGTACATTTCTACAAAGCAGAGGATTTTTTATAATTTCCAAGACTGAGCTGAGTTGCCTTTTACTCTGCTCCTCTGCCTCTAGGTGATCCATCTCATTCAAGCTCCTCCCAATACATTTGCTAGATCCCTTCTCATATACAGGGGCAATATATATACACACACACACATATATATACACACACTGCATATATATATAGATATACATATACTGCATATATATGTATAGTGCACCAAGCAGTGGAGGTGCAGCAGCTCCAATCTGCTGCAGGATGAGCTGCTGAATGCCAACCCCATGTGCTGAGGGACCTGACAGATTACAATTTTTATATGTTGTTGTCTTGTGCCATTTTATACTCCTGTCTAAGTGTTAGGCAGCTGGCATTAGGTATTTTATTAAAACAGGCTATACACCTTAAATTTCAGATTAATTTTAGGGTGTGGAATAATCTGATTATCTGACTGCTAGAAGATGAACTATTGTTCCATTCTTATGAATATATGTTGCCCTCTCTTTCCATGAAAATGTTCTTGCATGAGTGTTTTTTGCTCCTAGATTTTTTAACAAATAAGAGATTTGTTAAATATCTTTCAGATAAGAAATCTAAATAAAGTAGAAACTAAAGGCAATTAAAAATACATTTGCTGCATAAAGTGGGAGCTGTGCCTAGCCAGAATGCAGAAGTGTGCTTTCTACCTTAATCAGCTTCATGGAAATTAAAATGAAGCTTGGTGGAAATGTCACTTGTCCAGAGTAAGGATGAATAAACTGAAGAGATAGCAAGTCTGATAGTTTTAACCCTGAATTTCCTAATGTAAGACAAAGCGGTTCTTTCTCAAACACTGTGTGAGATTTCTGCCTATCACCTGGATCCTGGAATAACTTCAAGGCAGTGCAGCCCCACTGCTTGCAGATAGGGAACAGAAAAGTCATCCTGTGTATTGACAACAGTCCAGACATTTGAACTTGCAGCTTTTACGACTTTTTACAGACTTATGGGAACACAAGTACATTGTCAGTTTGTTTTGGGCCTGACCAGGTCTGGAACTTGGGAGATGGGGAGAAGGAAGGAAAAATGCAATTATAGCTCTTGATTTGATCTTAAACCAGTGATATTTTAAAGGCAACTGGGCTGGCAGTTGCCAGCTTGTTAGGAGCTACTCTGAGGCAGAAGCTCCACAGTGAAGGTCACTGCACTGGAAGCAGAGATGTGAACATTTTACCATCTCTCTCCATTGCTCTTTTTCTTTGTTTACATCCAAGGTTGGCTTCTGCCCCTTACCTATTTTCTCAAGTTAATGCAGCTTTCAGAAGCCAGTCAGCATGCTCTCAGCATCTCCAGCTTCATGGGGAGGGATCCTGAGCCCCAGAGTTTGCTCAAGTGCTGCCTGCAAGCAGCAGCACTGCCTGCTCCACTGTGGGAGTGGAGGGCCAGGACTGCCCTCCACATTTATAGGAGTCTTTGCAAAAGCATTTATTTTCTATCAAGTAGGAGCAAAACTTGCCCCTGTGGCTATGAAAATATGTCAGTCTAATGAGAAAGTGAGGAAAAAAAACAAACCCTGACAAAAATCTAAGAACAGTGTATTGAACAGACCTGCCTTCTGCCAGAGCGTTTGGGGCAGAGATGAAGGTTGCTTAAATATGGTGGGAGTACCACATGAGATCAAGTAGATCACAGCACTTGTACACCAACTCAAAGGAAACTTCTCATCATGTGTGCTTTGTGTGTGTAAAACTGGCTATTTTTGCAGCTTTCTCGTTTTGAAAGGTGACCTGCACTGTTTTAATTTCTGAATGCATTAACTCCAAGCAGCAGGGTATAACTGAATCGCTCCTCAAGCAGCCATTAGAAAGTTTTTTGGTTTTATTCAAATAATGGAATGTAATGTCTTGAGTGCTTCTACTGTTTAACTGGGATATTTGCTTGAGAAAGAACTGATCCACAGAAACATTTTCTTGTTATGATACTCTATTCTAAATCAATAGTGTCTTGTTATTTGTTGTGTTGGTTTTTTTCCTTGATGTTTTTAACAAGTAATAAACATAGTGAGCTTGGAAGCCTGACAGCAACGGAGCAACCAGCTCTGGGCACGCACCCAGTTACACCTAGAGCAGCTCTGCGGACCAGCACCACTACCGGGCGCGCTGTGCTACCCACACCCTCCGCACCCACGGAGGACAGGACGGAGGCGCGGGGCGGTGCCACGAGGGGCCCTCCCGCTGTGGGCGGAGCGGTGCGCGGCCGCGGAGGCGGGGGCCGGGTCCGCGGGGGCA